GACGCCCCAAGAAAGGCACCAGCTTGGCGACCTTGCCCGGCGTCAAGCCGTTCTCCTGCATGACCTTGCGCGAGTACTCCGAGAGCAGCTCGGGCTCTACCGTCATCTTGCAGGGGGGCGCCCAGTCCAGGTAGTCGTGCAGGTGGCAGGGAAAGCTGAAGTCCACGACGAAGAGTAGGCACTCCGTCTCGTCGCAGCGCTTGAAGTCGATCTCCGCGAGCTGCTGCTTGACCCAGGCCAAGCGCTCAGCACGACCCTCCGGGAGGCTAAGCTTCTCCCCAGAGCTCGCGGGCATCGGCATCGTCATGATGTAGGGGTACATGGAGGAGATGTCCATCTGCAGCAAGTAGCTCCGGTCCTCGTCCTCGTTCCACTTGCCCGGCCCCAGCTCCGGCGAGTTGGCCTTCGCGTAGGTCTGGAAGGCGCAAGAGAGCCCGCCCATGATGGAGCTTCGCACCGTCCTGTAGATGTCGGAGTCCGTGATGAGCCGAGCCGGCCTTTCAGTCAGGCAGGACTTGAGCATCGCGTCGTAGGCGGCGCTGGGCAGGGTGACGTACTGCAGCGGATCAAGCCCGAACTTCGAAAAGAACGCCGTCCTGAAGGCCTCCATGACATCCGCCAGGCACAGGTCCATGTGCAGGTAGCAGTCGTGCACCTGCTGGAACGTGCTCCAGCCCATGATCGCCGCGGTCTCCCTCAGAAGCGCGATCTCCTCAGCTTTGACGGTCTTGAGCTCGGACTCGTAGGCTTCATCGGCCCAAACCGCCGGCATCGACCACATGTCGGTGGATTGCATGCGTTTGAAGGGCATCGGAAGCTTGCGTAGGAGAAGCGACCAGGTCCACTTCCAGTAGTCCTCTTCGGTGCAGTCGCTTTTCTCGGGCGCGAAGTGCTTGCGCAGAAGCACTCGCCTCTCCACCGTCAAAGCCTCAGGCTGCAGCTCCGGGTGCGTTGCCGCCACGTGGGGGAAGACCGCGGCCAGGTTGCCGTCGGGAGCCGTCTTCGCGAGATTGTCCATGAGCTTGTCGAGGCCGGAGTTGTAGAAGTTGATGGAGTCGCGGAAGACCAGGTTGCCCAGCTTTACCTGCAGCATCTTCTCGGAGGTCTTGAAAAGCACGCTGAAGTGAAGCTTCTTGAAGTCCACCTCTTCGTCCAACTCCAAGCTCGCCGTCGAGTCCAGAGGCTCCAGCTCTTCGTCCGAGTCGGCGTCCTGCAGCTCGTCGTCCGAGTCGGGGTCCTGCGGCTCAGCCTCGCGCCGCAGGAAGGCGATCGTGCGAATGAGGAACTTGAAGTCGTAGTTGCCGCCGTTGTGGAAAATGACTGGCACTTCGCGCGCCTGCGTGATAGCGCGGTTGCAGGAGCCGCAAAGGGTCTCGATGTACTCACCGGTCCCGTGTCGGTGGTGGAGGACCTTCCCTTTGCGAGGGCACCCTTCGACGAAGGCCTTGTCGCATCTGGCGCACTTGGTAGCGGCCTGGTGCTCCTCCCACTCCGCGGCCGTCGGGCGAGCGGGCACGTTGGTGGTCTTCTTCCAAAGCAGGTAGCGCTTGCCCACGCGAAGCAGGAAGCGGAGGTAGCGTTCCACTACGGCGTGCTCGCTCTCGCCCGCCTCAGCCCGCGTGAGGTAGACCATCTCTCCCGTCGGCAGCTCGAAGCCGTTGCGGGTCACCGCTCTGAAGGCCAAGGAGGCGACTCGCCGCTGCACAGAGTGAAGGTCTTCGGCAGCTTGGGGCACAGGGTCTGAGAAGGCTTCTAGGTCGCTGTAGACGACGAGCGGGCAGAACTCCGCCGAGGGACCCGGCTTGTACCTCACCAGGTGCTGGCGCTTCGAGACGTCCGGCATGCGCAAAACCGCTTTGCGCTGGCCAGGGTCGAAGCTGCAAGGTTCCTGCTGGTGCTGCGCCAGGTTTTCCGCCGACCGGAAACCGCAGCGGCACCGGTGACAGACGT